AAGTTTATTTTAAATCTGAATCCTTTAATAAAACTTTTTTTTTCAAAACGAACATTGCACATGCAAGGTTTCCACTTGATTACATTTGGAATCATTAAAACTAAAATATAATTACACACTGTTAACAATCCAAGTAAGTGTAAATTATTCATAAAAAATATAGATTTAGTCATTTCATATGGAATAGTCTCGCTTCTAAAGCGTACATCATTCATCACGAAGATAAAAATCCTATAATTCAACCCTGTATAGTCGAATGCACTCTGGGAGGAGAAGAAAAAAAAAAGTTGGTCATCACCAATATGTGTTAATGTACCTGAAATCAACTGAGTAGATACAAGACAACTGCGCAGATATTGGTTTAAAAGGGGTGTGAACACATAAAAAAAAAAGTCCCAAATTGACAGAAATTACAATTTTCAAAAAAAAAAAAGTCTGGCAACTTTTAAAACAAAGATTAATCAAATAGTGAAGCTAACTTTAGTTTATCAAGCTTGGCAAAAACTACATACAAGCAAGCTGAACTGTATTTGGCTTCCTATATAACTCTGCACCTGCTTTTTTTTTAAAGAAACATCATTGGTCCTACATATCAACACCATGGACAATCATGAACACCTGTTGCACACATGGCAGTGTATTGTGTGAGAAATGACCACACCCACTTTATCAGGGTGCAAAACAAATTCAATGAAGTAGACACTTGTTTTAACTAAAAATATTAAAACAAATATACATGCACTTTATTGCTATTTTTTTTTTTTTTACTCAAACCACCTTTTTCATTATGAATGCACCAAACATTGGGGGGGGTCCATTACATACCGTGAGTGACCTAAAATATCAATTTTCAGAAGGGAAAATAAATCATTGTACCCCTCCCCCTCACAGGACTATAACTAAAGCTTTTAACAATATATATACAGCACTTGTAATTCTAGGACGACATGATATAGTGCAAATTGACCCCTCAAACTATTTAATTGTTATGTGGAAACCTTAGTATCAAGCAGTTACAAGCAATACCATTTGCATTTAGGGAATAAAGTCAAATTCCACATTTATATGTAGAACACAAAGAATTTAAAATTACCAAGATCTCTACACACAGTCAGGAAAGAGAGGGATGGGTTGTCAAGTCAAAGTGTTTATCATTTTTCAATATAAAGTATGTCATTTTTCAAAATAAATGTGTGGAGCATTTCGGGACAGTGTATACTACCATTCCAAGAAATCCATTGGCAGATTTGTCTATTGAAATACTGGATCAATATATGAAGAATGCCCTGTTATCTAAGTGGTAATGCGACGATGGGTACGACTGAAGCCGATTATCTAATCTATACAGTCTCTATATACATTTAGGTAATAGAACAAAACGCTTGTGATATGTAAATGGAGAAATCTACGGAGTTCGGGGGGGCCCCCTCGTTTTCAACAACGTTCTATTCAAATTATTACAGAGGTTTCACTATATGTATATCGGAATGACAAGGCTGCATCATAGCGCTTTCGTGAACACTGGTGGTTGCTTGTCGTATTGGCGCATGCACTCCTATGCAGTATTGGTCCATAATAGTGTCATTTCATACCAATTCACTGTAGTACTGATCATGTTAGTAATTCCAACAGGTCTGGATATGGTCCACCATTAACACATCCACTATACAAAACTACATCTCTATAAAACATACTGCAATAAAGGTCCTGGTCCTCCATTGCACCTTGTATAATTATAAAAATATCTTCTCAAAAAAAAAAAAGGATGGACAGACTCGTTTGCCCAGGCATCCTAAGTTTCATGATGTCACATGAATTGTCTATCAACACTATTATGGCACTTTAAAACGAATTCACCCCCATCATTTTTCTGATTTGTTCATATGACAGCCAGAATGTTAGTGACCATGGTGCCTAAAAAAAGACAAAAACAGATTACACATAGGAGTGAGGAACCTTCATTAGAGTGAGAATTCTTCAAATGTATGTGAAACTACAGTTAAATTGCACAATTTATTAAAAGTACTATCGGCTCCATAAACCCATTTCTTTTATTTTATAAACATGAGCAACTATCCAATTCTTGTCTGTTAGTTTTTTATATAAACTATATATAGAATTATTTTTCAAGAATCTGATGAGAAAGTCTCAAAACTCAGTCCACAATTAACACTGATGACTGAAATGCAACCGACTTGTTTCAAAGACTCAGAATATACCGGTAATAGCTTCCGAATTAAAAGTCAAAACTGGACTTCACCACTTCAATGTGTATGAGGGTGCTATTTCAAACAATTTCATGCAATGGCCCATAAACTCCTTTTCTTCCTTTTCATAACTTTCTTGTTGGATTCTTGCCAGATTTTTACTGTACAACTCCATTATAAACAATGGTTATATTCTAAAGCATAGATGTTTCAATGTGGTAACCAAAGTTTAGCCTACCAATGCAGATTTTCCACTGAAATCTCCAAATACTTAGGCGCTAGATTTGCAAACATTGATACTATACTGACATTAGGGAATGGATGAAGGGGAATTACTGTAAAATCTGTATTAAAAGCCATGGCTTCTAATAAAATGATATAATGCAACAGAGGGGATGTGGCTTCTAATAAAATGATACAATGCAACAGAGGGGATGTGGCTTCTATTAGAGCATCTACACATATGAGAAATGCCGAATTTTTAGGTCTCAATTGTTCAAAAAAAATGGGTGCGGCTTCTAATACAGATTTTACGGTACTCTGATTATCCTGGACACAAGAAATTGTTGAGAACACCAGACAGACATGCTAACCCCAATATCTTCCCTTTTTTGGAAAGCCAAATATGAAGGGAATGGGTTTGTTGTGCCAAAAGTAGTATATTGATATCTTCTGTTTCTCTTGGATGGAAATCAACACAATTTATCAGTTTGTTGATCTAGTTTACTATCAAAAATGTAAAATTGACACAAAGGGAGCTAAAAATAAACAGTTTGTGTTATTGTATTGGGTGAATAAAATAATATTAACTTGCTATTAGAAGTGCATGCGAGTCAAACAATTTGGTTTCGGGGTGGAATTTTAATTACACCAAAGACGTATAGTTTAATCTGCACATGCGTACCTACTAAAGCAAGCCCTGCATCACCAGTCTGCCTGGTCAACTTTTACATCAACATCAACAACAACTTGATTAATACAAATTTGAATAGTTCGATCAAGACAGGATGACCAATTTCTCATGAACCAAAAGGGCATCCTAATTGGGGGATTGATATGGGGAAGGGATCTGCATTGGAGCGCTTGATTTTTATAATCAAGTCAATCCATACAGAAAGAAACAAAACACACAGTTAATAAACAATGCATCATGCGACAACAAGATTTATTTCACTTACCATTCGTGCCCATGTTGGTATAAACCCTTTATAGAGTGCAAAGAATCCTTCATTTTTATACGCTTGTAAAAGACAATCAATAGATGATTTATACAGTAATCCTCTGCCGTGGCTATCTGTTGGCTGATTCATAATTCTCGTCTTGACGACATCTGCTGGCGTACTGAGTAGAGCAGCAATGAGACCAGCACAGCCACTGAAATAGAACCACATGCGACTGTCAAATGGCTGACATACAATGTTGGGAATTACATTGTGCCTGTTATTATTTATACAGAAAATTTAAATAATTGAATTGAACATTCATTTTCTGTGTCGAGACGGCGATCTTGGTTTGATCATTTACCTACCTGCCCATGGAGTGGACTAGCCAGCTGTCTTTGAGATTTGTGTTGTTTAATACAAAATGTTTCACTGTATCATACGTTGTCAAGTCTAGAGGATAAATAAAAGAAAAGAATTATGGTAGTTTGATACCATTATAATAAAGCAAAAATGATCACAGTAAATCATTTAAAAATTCTTATGTAATGATTTACATACATGCAATTTATTCATATTTAAAGTTTTTACCGAGAAAGAAGGATGTGTTTTCCAGTAAACATATGCAAAATAATCCAAAAAAAGACATTATAATTCAAACCTGTGGACCAAATCTGTTCATTCTTCGCATGTACCTCGTACTTTATCTGGGACATGCAGTGGTTTACTGATTCAATCCAAGATGGCTGCCATTTTGTTTTTAGAAAATGTGGTATCTTATGCAACCTTTGTCAGTTTTTGTTCTAATTTGGTACATACAGTATACATGTCTATGGCGATTTGTTTCGTGATCGGATCAAAGATTGCCAACTGGCAGCCATTTTGTTTTTTGAAAATGTTGAATCTTTTGCATGCTTTGTCAGTTTGTGTTCAAATTTGAGCCTGGACAAATGAAATTCAGTTTGGATACAAAATATTCATGGATAGCATACATGTATCTGTTTAATTTCTGAC